TTAGTCATGTCCAACTCTTCATGACTTCATTTGGGGTTTTATTGGCAGAGATATGGGAATGATTTGCCATTTCCTTCTTCAGTGCTTATTTTACAGATGAGGAAACTGAGGCTAACAGGATTAAGTGACTTGCCCAGAGTCACAAAGTTAGTAAGCGTCTGAGGCCAGATTTGAATTCAGGAAGATGCCTAACTGCAGGCCCACCACTCTACCCGATGTACCATGTAGCTGTCCCGGGCAAGAAAGCAACACATAATTTAACCGGAGAGAGGAGGCAGCCAGAGTTGGGGGATGAGTTATGGGCAAAATAAATGTCTGATGATTACCAGTACCAGCCCCTCCCTTCTGCGCTGGACCCCTCAACTTGTGCCAAACACCCCAAAGTAGCATCTCACTTAGACAGCAACACCCCCCCCAAGATACTGCATGCTACTAATTTACCTCTCCTACTCTTAGCCCAATCAAAAGACCCATCTATTCATTGCAACTTATCTCAGCTAACAGTTTATTTGCTTCTTTCATAGCATTTTCTTTACAAATCTGTAGATCATTTTATTATCATCTTACTTCTCCAAATTAGGACATTGCTAAAGGCTTGCGCCCAGATTATTTTTTACCCCAAGTTCACGTGTATGTGTGATCAATATCCTCATTAGCCCTCCCTCCGCCCCCACCCTCCACCAGGGACATTTGCTTCTGAAGTAAAATGTTAGGAAGAAGGGACTCCTTAAATCCCACCACGCCAGCATCAGCTTACCTGAGCTGTTCATCTGCTCTTCAAACCCTCCACTTCCAAACACACAGATCCTCTAAAAGCTACATTATTTCCCCCCCCACTACACTCCATCCCCAACTCACATTAACAGGTCACCATATTCTAGTTATCTTTTCTTCTGGAACAAAAATAAGCATAAATATTAATGTCTGTGTCATATCTAGAAATTATGCTTTTGTTTTCCCTGACCCTGGTCAAAGACATTTAGAGAGGGAAGAGTTATCTTGAGCAAAGCTTCAAGAAAGCTGAATAATGAAGACAGGTAAATCACTTCTCCCAAGCCTCCCCCCAGATCCCTGCTCAAATTTATTTTGCTTTAGGAAGAAAGGGAGGGGGTGGAAATGTCAGCCCCACCAGTGTTTAGTAATTTACATAAACTTGCATAGAGACTACATCGTATCTTTTTTCTTCTGTCCTCCCACTCCCGTCTTTAAAAATGGCCAATTTATTTCCATGGAGTCTAAAAAGCTGGGAAGAATGGATAGACATAATCTATGCAAATACTTGAAAGATATTGCAGTGAAAGGATTCCGGAGTTAAGAAAATAGTCAATAAATATAGTGGAAATGAGAGTTCTCAGACTGCTACTTCAGACAATAGGTCTGGATAAAAATCGGGCCTCTTACTTTATGGCGCCTCATGCTTGTGGCAACCCTGCTTGCCCTCGCATGAAGTTTTCCTCGGATACTGCATGGCTAAACATGTGACCCATCTGAAGGTTTCTTTCTGTAGACAAACAAGGTCCAGAACAGAAAACACTCTAAGGCAGAAAAAGATGAGCAGCAAAGCTGAGAGGCTCAGAAAGGCAGCCAGGGTTAATGTACAATACACTTTACTAGAAGAGGGTTTGGCAGTGACCTGACAATCTCGGAAATGCTGCCTAATAATCTCATTCTGAGAATCTACTTAGTTCACCTGGTGTAGGCACAACCAATTCTGACCCAAGAACTGAAAGATGGAAGTTGTAGAAAGGGAAATGGAAGAATCATTCAAAATGAGAAACCTGCCAACTAGAAAGATGAGAATGGAAGTCAATCCTGGGGATATGAAAACAGGGAGGCAAAGATTTAAAAAACATACACACACACTAAAAACCACACAATGTATAAAACTTTATTAAAATTATTTACAAGCTATACGACAAAGACAAGATCAAACAAAAGAAATCATTTTTGTTTTTGTAAAGGGTAAAGGGATAGACATAGACATTTTAAATGTGTAATAGAAATGCTTTTTTTTTTTTAAACAGGCAAGCCCCAAGGCACTGCCCAATGATTGATACTACTTCCTCACCCTCATCCCCCCCCATTCCAAAGGCACATGGCAGACAAACTCTACTCTGAGAAGACCACAGCCTAGATCTAATGCCTCTCTCACTGGTATAGTAGGTTTGACCTAAAATGGAGTTTAAACACAGAAAACATTTCTTGAGTGACTCAAGACAGTGTCACCATCTTCAAAGTTGTCACAGGCTACTAGGAGCTTAGGAGGAAAGAGGCATTAGGTTAGAGAGGCCAAGGACCCTGTATGTATGGAAGCTGCCTATCCAAGAGTCTGCTGAAGGGACAAAGTAGTCTTGGTATAAAGTTGCCTCATAATTATAGTTCACAGAAACCACCGCTTACCTAAGCTTTCTAACACCTTCAGCACCTAACACAGCACTCTGCAAGTGCTTAATAAATGTTTGTTGAATGACTGAATGAACATTTGGGATACTTAGCACCCCTTATAAAAACTAAGGGAGATGCTTCCCCAGTTATGAACCAGAATCCCATTCTCAAGGTTTCATAAACTAAGAAGCAACCTGAATCCAAACCCATATTAATAAGACACTATGGGGCTAAGATTCTACAGGAGCCCAAGCTCCATTTTTGCATAGTTAGTTCACTTCTGGTCCTGCTATAGCGAAGTCCATAGAAGCAAGAAGCTAGGTGCATTTACTGTGTGCAATGTCTATTTTGCAGGTTTATTACTTGGTTTCAGTGCTAGCAGAACATGTAGGCACAATAAATCTGTCAAACTACCTTCCTTAATGGTTCTGATCAGTTCAGATAAAATTCTTGGCATTTTTCATAGGAAATATTATCCCGCAAATCTGACCTGAGTCCAAGGGAATACTTAAACAACCTTTCATTTCCTCTCCTCCTCCCTCACTCTTCATTTCAAAGAAAAACACTACACACAACCTGGAAACATTTTTATGTGGGCTTCAGTGTGACTATCATTTTGCTGGGTGACAACTGTTCAATTCACTTTTGAATGTTACAAGGATATCAGAGTTTGGATGTGACTAACAGTCTATCTCCAGCTCCTTCACATATCTCAGTCTAAACATCTATTCATATACATACATACATATTGTACGTACACACACACACGCACGCACGCACCCACACCCATAAATTTGGATTTGGGACAGGGGCTCACTAATCAGTGAAGAAAAGGCATGTGATTACTAACACAAAATGAAACATTGAGATCCAAAGATCATCACTGGCATAGCACCTTTGCACTAGTAATTCACGAGCGAAAGGTCTGGAGAGAGAACGATCTCATTTTTTGGTGGGATTAAAAGAGGCTGCTAGGGTTTTCTGATGAGGTGTGGAAAGACGTCCAATGATGCTTGAATTCCAGGTCCAGGCAGACATGGTTTCCTCCACATGAGGTAAGATTTCCAGCGTTGATGACAGAGTGCCCTTGGGCCAATTTATGGCCTGGTGTCTGCCACGCAGAGCCTGATGTACTGGCAGCAGACAGGGCTCCAACATTCAGCTCACTCCATAGTTATCTCCTTGATGAAATCAGTCTGGGAACCCAGAGACAAGGCAGTGCTAAAATTGCAGAAGCTATAACTGTCAAAGAAAATTAAATGGGGGCTTCAAGTAGCGACTGAGGCAGGAGGCTAAGCGGCAGAGGGGAAGCCAAGCAATCTCTGCAACACAGCCCTGAAGCCCTGAAGCACCTGGGGCAGAGGAACACAATGAGTAAGGAGGAACAGGGTCAGGGCAGCACACAAAAGACACATGTCCTTGACTTTCAAGAACTGTTTGAGGCTTCAGCTGGGCTGCAGGAACCAACTGCCATCTACACTGACAATAACCCCCTCCTTCCAAAGAAATAATGTCAAATGTGAACCTACTGCACTCCCAGCTCGGGAAGGACCCTTCCTCTGCACAAAAGCAGCTTTCTGGAGGGAGGTACTAATTACCCAGCTCCACCTCGTCCCTCCTTGGTCCCCCGCCCCACCCCTCCACTCAGCCAGGCAGGTGAATTCGTTTAATCAGAGAGTCTATACTACTGAATGCTAACCCCAAAGGGAGAACTTATGAGCCAGAAAGTATGCTGGGTCCCAACCAAACACTGTAAATACAGACAAGTCCCTGAAAATAGACGTCTAAGATTTCCACAGGGTTAAGTGAGCAACTCATTCCTCCTTCTCCTTCCAGATAAGCAATATACTCAACTCAGGGCATCCAGGACTGGACATGACTTCCACAACATTCCTTTTGTACTCATGTCCCTTTTCTATCCCTTCAATTTCCACTGTGTGACTGCTTCCCTTTCCCAGGAATGAACTTCCAGCCTGTGATTATCCATGATGCCTGAGGGTTACTCAGTTTTGGGAAGCACAGTTAGCAACAACCCATTCCTCCACTGTTTATTCTTCTCTCCCTTTACTGCATCATGCCACTGGCCATACAAAGGGTGGAGTCTCAGAACTGCCATTTTGAAAGTCCGCAGCTAAGCTTAAGGCATTTCAGAATCTCTGCCCAAAAGACGGCTCTGGAGTCACTGTTGCTTTCACAAACTGCCTTTTCCATGTTTACAATGGGATCAATGAGTGTGAAGCCTCCCCTGATCATGCTGTTCTGATGGATTTCTATTTTCTGAACTAATTTCCTTTTCCAAGAGGTCTGAATTTCATGGGGTTCTTAGGTGAAATCATAGGAAGTCAAACAAGAAAAAGGCACTTGGCAACTTGGCCACTCTTAAATGACCAACTTAGGATGGGAGGCTTTTCTAATAGCCCACTGTTGGTTGCAGATCAGCTCCCACTCCATGAGTCTCCCTTATGGTGAGAAAACATGAAATGAGGGGTTCATGTCCCTCTATCCCAGACGATAAAGAGTCACACACAACAACATGAGCAAAGATCACTGCGATGCTTATCTATCAACTTCAAGGGCAATGAGAGGACATCCTCAGGTCTAATTTGCTAGTCCCCTGAATGGTGGCGGCTGAATAGCTTGGGATTCTTTTTTTTTTTTTAATCATGAAGCTCTTCCTGGCAGTACTATAACTACTTCCTCACCTCCACTCCCCCATTCCGAAGGCACATGGCAGAAAAATTCTCTTCTGAGAAGACCATAGACTAGATGATGCCTCTTCCACTGGCTCCCATAGACTGCACTGGGGAAGGAGGAGGGGAGATGAACTAAACAGGAAAAGAAAGAGGAAGACGGGGTAGCATACTGAGCGATTTCTCTGGTGACTCAAAGGCATGCGGCCCCTGAGGGGAGAAATGGGGAACTGGTGGGAAAAAGTATTTAAATTTTCAGAACAAAATTACACACTGCCTCTACCACCCCAACTGGCCCAGACAAAGCTAAATGGTTTTTCTGGGGAAAAAAGACCGACAAAACTGCAGATGAAAAAATGAACTGTAACTACTTCAAGGGGAAAGCCATAGACAATTCCTGGAGGGAGGAACAAAGGAAGGGAATGAAAACTGATACCATTAGATGGAATGTAAAGTTCTACAAAGAACCGTTAAAAAAAATCTCTTATAACCAGAGGGAATTAATCAAAATTTGAAGCATTGTGATTTATGAGGCTTAAAATGGCTGACAAGTATGATAGTGTGATCCAATGATTCTTGCCACTCTGAAGCATGAACTATTTTTAATTTAAATGCAGTTCAGTCAAAAGCCAAGAGAAAGAAGTGCATCTTCTCCTCAAAACAGCCAAATAAAAATCTCATCCTGAAACCACCAATGCAGTAGAGGAAGTTTCCAAAGACCTGTAGATTTCCCTATAAAGAAGCAGAGATTGAGAAAATTTCCCCACCCTCTATCTGAACACATTTCTGCACTTATAAAGAATGGTGGTCCTCAGTGCCAACCACACAGAAAAGCACTTCGATGGGCCAAACTGCACACAAAATCCTTGTGTAGAGAAGATATCGACAAAATGCCAGGGCTATCAAAGCACTGGCATGAACACCATGGGCAAGAAGGCCTGCAGTGGGAGAGGAGGGTGAAGGCACAGCTCACTTGATCTAGAAGGAAGTGCCCACATTCTTTGGTTAGTTGACTCAACCCCTAGCTTCCCATAAGATCCTCACACAGATCACCAACCAGGGTTCAGAAGGGATGCCCATCAGGCCTCTAAAGCAGCAACTTTGCAGCATCTCATGCCACTTTCAGATGGCCCGGAAACAAGTGTACACACACACATAGAGTGTTAAAGTTCTGGCCACCTTGAAATTAATTCAGTCTATGTGAAAATACCAAGATGCCACCTAAGACACTAAATGGTTCTGTATGACTGAGCTACACATGAGGTCCTCCTCGTCCTCTTCCTCAAATGACATGTCCTCAAACAGCTCATCCTCTGCAAAATTGCTCCCCAGTCCATATTCTTGCTCATGGACAGAAACTTCACGTGGTGTGAGGTGAGAAGATCCTTCCACAAAATCAGCAAACCTGAAACACAGAGAAAGCAGTCAGCCATGCGGAAACTGTCTTCTGTCTTCTCTGGTCACCTTTGAGCCTAAACACAAAGTACCATGACACGAGGGGAGTTCCTAAACCATGGTGAATCTAGCCAGCATGCTTCTGCTCAATGTACAGATAGGGAGATCAAGGCATAGGTAAAAGGAAGATGGAGAGACCAGTGGAATACCAGGCCCAGATTCCCCCACATCTCGACCATGCCCAACAAGTAATAAGTCTGCCTTCCTTTCGTCACGGCAGCTCTCTATTTCTTCTAGTCATCCATAATCCTGATAAGAAGAGATTAAGGAACACTACACATTTACAGCTGCTTACCGTTTTATGGGCCTATAAACTATAAACTTTATGCTGGCAGGACAGTGAGTGTTTCAGCTTTACTTACTCACTGGTACACTTGCTCCTGAGTTGAGTGGAAAAAAACGAGCTCTGAGAGCACTGCAAGAATTAAACGATTTAATTTAATAGGCCTCTCATCTCAATGTTACAAAAAGTTGGAATCAACAGGTATAAGCGGCATGTGGTGTTCAGTTGTGAGGAGGCTGGCTCCAGCTGAACTCATGAAGATTGGCCTAACTTTCCCTAGATCACGGGATCAAGATGGGCGGGGAGGCTAAAGAGACACGCACACTATCATCTAGATGAGAATGATCAAGTGTCAGAAGTCGAGATCACCTCATGACCAAACCCCTCAGCTGTTGCCTTACCTCTTGGGTGACTGGATGCGGGCGATGGCCTTCCAAGCAGAAAACTCTGGGCTGCTGCAGTAGCCTCGGAGGTCCTCCAGGGCCTTTCGGGTCTCCACTTCCCCTTGAATGCGGTATTCTTCTTCTGTCAGGAGACGAGGGGGTATCGGCTTTTCTGCTGCCTTATACACCTTTCTGTGCTCACCAAAATAATACCGTGAATGATTAATCACATTCATCTGGATCTCCATCCTTATTTTCTACCTCCCTTCACGGTGCCATTGGCAACTTGTGTCCTGAAGGTGAGGCCTACTTTATACCCTTTCCAAAGTCTCCCTTGGTGATCCTTGGTCACAATGACCTCTTTCCACTTTAGGACAGGAGGGCCAGCCACAGAAGTCAGTGCTGCTCTCTGACCACAATGGGGGAAATGGGAGAGCAAATGGAGAGACAAAAGGGAACGATGACACAGATCAGCAAGATGATTAATTCCGTTTCTCAGCCTGACAGGGCTTATCATGTCCATTTCTCATTCAAAAAGATAATCAATGCCAGAATGAATGATTGCAGATAACATTGCCATATTAGAATAACTCTGTGCAAGACAGTAATAAGCAGTGGGTTACTTTCAGTTTTACCTACATACTGAGATAAGAATATTGCCACGCACCCTGTCAGGCAACAGGAAGTAGCTGGAAAAGCAGGAGTCCACAACATGGTGTATAAGTGATGCATCTTGCACCACCTAGTGGCCACAGGAACAAATGACACCATATAAGAAAAATGTTTATTTTATAAAAACAATTAGCGGGAATTCCAAATATCAGATACGTTAGACTCAGAAGCAAAAGTAAAAAATGCTAGAGGAAAAGTATAACCCAGTAACAGTTACTTGCAAACAAGGCCCTACTGTCAACGTCTGTCGATAAGCCCACTGCTGCTGCCTTAGCTGACTGCATATGTGGATGAACAAGTAAGACACAGGCATTGCTTTCTAGTCACCTGTAGGTGGTGTAAATCCACTGAACGGGGTATTCCAGGTTTTTAGTGCAGAATGCAACGATGATAAGGGCAAAGGCAATCTGCCGTATCTGCACACCAGAATACATGAGCAACAGGCCTGTCAGCTGCAAGGCCCAGGTCAGCAGGTTGATGCTGCGTTCATTCTCCAAGGGTCCATACTTGTAACACACAGCAAAACTCATGAATCCAACTATGAGGACATAGCCTATAGGAAGAGCAATCGGGGGACATACTTGAATCATCTGTTGTATGCACCATAGAAAGGATAGTTCAGGAAGTGGTGGTAGAGAATATTTTATGCACTGAATCAGGAAGCAACATAAAGCCAATAATAGCTAATGAACTACCACATCCCTCTCTTTCCCAAGTCAGATGTGTCTACTTTGATGCCACTCCATTCTTTATCCTCCCTCAAAGTTTCTGGTGTGTTAAGAGTTAACAAGTTACCTGTTTTAAGAAAACCCAATATATGGAAATCCAAATTGCTTCCCCCAAATGATACATTAGAGGGTGATTATCTGCCCAATCAAAGGATTCTTTTATTTAAAAATTAATTCATTGCAAGGTTCTTCAGATACTGTGCTCCTCTAGTATACTTAAAATGATCAAATTTATAAAAATTCAACTCACAACTCTAAAAATACATCTATTATGTAAATGAAACAAACTCAAGCTCTATCCCTAGAAACATTTTAATTTAAGCATAGCACATAATCGTACAGGGAGTATAAATACATGAGGACCTACCAGCTAAGACATGAACAATAAAAATCACACAGAGGATTTTAACTCTGACAACACCCCTGTTTGTAGAACAAAGTAAACTTAAGTATCTTAATGTGTGTACAAAATAGAATAGCAAGACTAAACACTTACTTAAAAGATACTGCCAATAAAACCTGCAGATTTCTTGTAAGTTTTTGAAAACCAGCTGTATCAGGTACAGAGAAAAGGACCAGCCTCCAACTAGGATGATGTAGACAGGACTTTTCTAGGACAGAAAGGTAGGAGTGAAAGCAAAAAGTTACCACAACAGACTTTCTACATGGAAGAGAAGCAAACTGGAACTGTGATTTTTAAAAATGAAATGGGAAACTTCCACTGCCTACTAAGCTCAAGATTAAATACGAAAAAAAAAAACCTGATAGCCAATTTCTCCAATCACATATATAATAAATACCTTTCTGGATAAGGCTATTACCCAAAAATCAATCAACCACCAATTCCCATTTTCTAACATGATCCTTGAAATTTTATTAAATTTAATATAAATTTAATAAATTTTATTTAAAATGAATTTTATTTTGTTTAAATTTATTTTATTTTAAATAAATTTAATGTTAAATTTAAGCTACATGTACACAGTACCCCCTACCCACCCCCAATAAATGCATATGGAAACACCTCTACCTACCTTGGGCATGAACTTGGACATCAGGAAAATTAAAATTAGCAGAGAGGCCAAAATCCCCAGGCTCATCCCAGTGGAGTAGTAGAAAATCTGACTTCTACAAAGAGAAGATTATTTCAAGACATTACCTAGGTTTGTTTTAAGCATAAAGGATTACATTCCCTAGATCAATTAGTCTCTGTAGGTATTAAGTGTTGTTACTGGTACACAATCACTCCCTAGAGAACATGAAACATTTATGAGAAAATGTCCTTATTTTTCATTATTAGGCCTCGAAATGCCATCAGTTAGTCATATGATATTAAGTGCACTGGCTCTCTTAAAATTACTTTGTATCTTGCATTTACTTATCTATGTATATCTTGTATCCCCTCCAGTAGAATGTAAGCTGCTCAAGAGCAGAGCCTGTCTCATTTCTGTCTCTGAAGTCACATGTTTCGTACAGTGCCTAATACATAGAGGGCACTTAATCGATGTTTCTTGAATTGAACTGAATTGGTGCAATAAGATTAATCGAAAGCTAGAAACAAGAAAACAAAACCAAGAAGAGCCAGTGGGGGTACATCTGTGTCTAAAACTTGTCTTTCAAGACCAGAAGTCCAGCCCAAAGCAGTGGGTACTGGATTTAATGGGGGATTTTTAGCATTAGAAATGCAAGGCCCTTCAAAGAGACACTGTTCCTGTGCGCCCGTCCTCACCTGGATTTAGCAAAAATCCTGCTTATGAAGAGCAGGCAAGTAAACTATCCACTTTCAGAGAAGCCAAGAAGGTCACACAACAATGAATGGTCTTGAACAGAGGTAGAGCCAGGACTAGGGCACAGGTCTCCTCAATGTCTCTTCCAGAACTTTCTGCTCAACAGCCTCCCCTGAGTTCTTAGTTACTACAAGTGTCCACAGAGAGACAGGCAGGGATATTATAGAAGGGATTCCAACATGGAGAGGGAAGTTGGACTAGATAAATCCTCATGAAACTATCTATTAAGAAATGAAGGGGTTTTAATATGCATTGGTGGAAATAACATTTATGAAAACATGGATCCCTAAAGTATAAATTATTACTATTTACCTTCATCTTTGCTCAATGTTTATTATTTAATCATCTGTAAGTCTTTATGCTTATACACAGAGCTTACACACACATAGTACTATAAAGCTAAGTTCCTAGGAGTCTACTCAACAGCCTGACTCAGAACATCATCATATACAAAAGATTTGTTTATTTTACACAAGATTATTTTTGAGGGCTATCCCGTCTTAAAACTTAATATAATCTTCCTAGCTGTAGATGAATACCATAATGGCCAAATCTATCAAGAAGTTACACTGCTGTCAATCAAAATGAACACAAGACAAATAAAAACATCACACACTAGAAAATGAATGACTTCTCCATACCAGGCAGAGGCTAGCCAAATAAATTCTACGATTAGGAATGAAAGTGTTTATGGCTTTTATGGAAATAGCAAAGCAATTTAATTCTGAGCCCAGAAGAACTGCATACCCTGAAGGGCAACCTACCTGCTTAATAAGTCCCCACAAAAGAAAAGCAAAAGTCCAAGGAGGAAAACTAGGAAGAGTTTGGGGTCAAATCCTGGGGGGAAAAAAATTAAACATATACTTAAAAGAAAGACTGATTATCTAAGGGAATACACAATACAAAGTCATTTTTAGCCATATTAGACTATAAAGAAAATACAAAACAACTCATCCAAATAGCAGTGTAAACACCAGGGGAAGGAGAAAGAACAAATATTTCATTTGATCCACACAACAACCCTTTGAGGTAGGTGCTATTACTACCCCCATTTTATAGGTGAGGAAAGTGAAGCCAACAGAACTTAAGTGACTTGCTCAGGGTCACACGGTAAATGTCTAAGGCCATATCTGAACTTAGGTCTTTCTGACTCCACACCCCTAGAATAGAGTGGCCTCTATCTGCTGCACCACCTAGCTGCTCATGGAAACAAGGCATGTTTCCAGAGAGATAAAATAATTAGATCTCTGCCTATCCTGTACTTTCTTGAAGAACTTTTTTTTTTTAATCTTCATTATTCCTTACCTAAAAAACTGAGACTCCTATTAGGTGAAATTGGGTAAAATGCCATCAGCCCTTCTCTTGACTGGTCACAAGGGATCTCCACTATGGGTTCAAAAGCTCTGAGTCACCCTCAGGCTGGGTTCAGATCCTGATGTCAGGAGCCCCCACTAGTCCCTGTCTTGGCACCTTTCTCTTCCCAACAACACTTCTCACTAACAGGATAGCTGCACTAGAAAAGGCCACAGTGAATCCCATCCTACTATCACTGGGCTTGGGCAGAGGCCTCAGTGGCACACTAGATACTTCAACAGCTCCAACCTTGAGCATCCCAAACCAGGCCAGACCTGACACCGACAAAAGAGCCACTATTCCTCAGGACGGCTGGCAGGGTAATCAACGGTGGTAGAGGTGGCATCCCATCCCAAGCGTCCTCTGAAATAACCACAGACTCCAGAAGCCAGCGGATCACCCTGAGGACATCCTTTCTCTGAGAGAGCATGACCTTGGCTGCCTTCCCTCTGACCAGACCCTAATGACTCCAACACCACTCGACTGCAGCATGAAAATATTCTCTTTTCTTAGGTACAATGTTAATCTTGAATCTTACCTTTGCTTTTTGTTTAAATATCTATTTTTTTCCTCTAAATGCTTAAACATTTCAATGTAAATACTCCAGAGAGGGCAGGAATCAGGCCAACCTTTCTGATGTGCTCTGAATAGCAAATAACACAGCAGCAAATGGATATTAACAGTCAGGAATATAAATCTTCAGACCTTGTCAAGGAGTGAGTCTTGAGAAAGCTCTAAGAATCCTCTTTGATATGAGAAGGTACCTCCCCCTCTCCCAGTTTCTTTGTACAAGTGGATATAAAACACTGCATATGATGTTAGACTTTTTGATATGTTGGTTAACTTAGCTAAACTGGTTTTTTCCACGTTTTTATTTGTTGTTATAAAGGATTACTCTTTAGGAGGATCACAATGGGAAATATAGGTGATATAAAAACAAAATATTTCAACAAAAAGTTACTTAAAATTTTTTAAAGAGTGCTCTCTACTCTAATAAAATTACCTAAGAGGTAATGACCAACCCATCACGGGATTTTCACTGTCTTCAGTGAAAGATTTAATTTGACTAGCAGCAATTAGAGCCCGGGGGTGGTGTGCTAATGGGGATGGAGTCTTCTGATAAACTAATCAGAATCTCTGAAGCTCAGAACTTCTTCCAGCCCAGTAAAGTGATTTCTTCCTTGCTCCTCTAATTCCTATGATTTGACCTTTGATATCTAGTTATGTATCCATCTGGATTTTATCTTGGTACTTGGTTCGTGAGGTGTTGGTCTGAATCTAATTTCTGCCAGACTCCTGTCCAGTTTTCTCAACAGTGTTGGTCAAGTAGCAACTCCTGCCTCCACTGGCCAAGGTCTTCCACTTAGGTTCTTCTGTTTCTATTATCCAGTATATACTTAATTGGTTCCCCTGACTGAGCTCTCTATTTTTTAACCAGCATCAAACCATTTTGATGATTACAATTTCGTGGGATTGTTTGAGATGGGGTGCTGCTAGGCCGACTTCTTCCCCACTCGTTTTCATGATTGTCCTTGAGATTCCTGACCTTGAAGTTCCCTAAGGTGGAAAAGAAGTCCCTAGCAGCGAGGAGGCTTACTTCGGGACAGGCTGATGCTGTACTCCGTGTCCTTCTCAAGGACCTCGACTTTGAGGCAGACCTTGGTGCTGTAGAGGTCCACATTGACATAGGTGTCATTCAGCTTCTCCTTCAGGAAGGAGGAGAACAAGTTCCAGAGACTGAAATGCTCCAGTTCTTTCAACTTCTCCTCATTTTCCACTTGCGTAACTCTCACCACTTTGGAGCTATTTACCCGAATCTGGAATTCAGGTGGGTTCAGGGGGAGAAAGAGAAGGGAAGGAAAGATGAATTTCAAATGTCAACAAATGCATAGGCACAATGCTAAAACATCAACAACACTGGAGCTTTCCCCACAAGACTAATCAGAAGTGTTGAAAGGTGTAGTAACTTAAAAAAAAAAAACCCAACAATTGACAGAGAATGTTTTTTATATGTAACAACATGGAACAGAGAGGTATGTGTGAGACTAACTCTATTATTACAGTGTCTCCAGAACTACCATTAGTTACAGAGAAAAAAAAAGTCTTCAAATTGAAGGGGTCATCAATACAGCTATCTATGAAAGATTTTACAAAACCTGGGGCAAGAGCATTAAGCAAAATGGCAGGTTACAGCCAGGCCCAGAAGATTGAAAATGATTCCCATTATGGTGGTAAGATTCTCCTCATTGTCTGCCACAAATCACTGGTTCTGGGGACACGCTGGTCACACATGCTCTGCAACGGCTGAGATTTTTACATCAAATAACAAAATAAAGAAAAATAGATTTAAAAAAACCCAACCACCAAATCACCTTAATCATCAACATGACTAATACCCTCATAAGCTGCTACACTTAGCTGCAGCGAGAGTGCCTCTAAGTGGAAGAGCAGGCACCCATTTCCAAAAGGACTCATTTTGTTCAATTACTATTCGATCCAGACACACTGGGCTGCCAGCCGACTTGATAGTGTTATGGAATAAATGGCCAGAATAATTCTTCTGAGGGGACAGAGTGGACTCAGTATGTTTATGAAAATTATGTTCATGTGAAATCAAAACAGAATTAGGAACAGCCAGTCAAAGGTGGTTATATCAGCATGGACACACAATAGTCTCCAGCTCAACAAAGGAAAGAGGTCTATGAAACTGGGAGGGCGGTCTTTGAGAGGGAGGAAGTATGCCACAAGGACACACTAAGGAACACAGAATAGTCTATGCTCCTCAAGAGTGAGGACCATCTGTCACTATTTCTTTTAGATCCCCCACATAATAATTATGATTGTAACAACTCACAGCATCTGGCAGTGATGAGCCAGGTGGGGCAGTTAATATGCACTAATTAACGGCGGGATCTAGAATAATGCTAAGGAGGTTATTAGAAATAAATGTCTTATCCTAGGGGCCTAAACAAATATATAATCTTGACAATGTGCATGGTGACTGAGGCATCTTACCGTCACCCGGGTCCATAACTCGTGCCACCTTGGGACAAGAGTGTTCTTATAACAGAACTGCTGACTACTGGTCTCATAATAAAATCGGGATTCTTGCAGCATCACCACTTGTACTTCAATTCCAGCTTTACGAAGAAAGGAAGGAAAAGAAAACGTTTAAGCACAGCAAAGAGATAAACATTCCATTAAAAAAGAACAAAATGGCCATTTTCTTGAAGTCTGTATTTTATCTCTGAACTAGGGATGGCAAATACATTAAAGGACAGAAAGTTTCAATAAGGTAAAAAGTCTGACTTTGCAAAAATCACAATTTCTGACAAATACCATTAATTTGGACTTTTAAATATTCAATCATCCAGAGCAGGCGAACGTGTATTTTCTCTCAACAATCTCCTGGGCAGGCTAAGGAATTTTTCTTCACTTACAATAAGGCAGTGGTAATTGATTTTTAATGCAGTTCAATTTTTTAGCTTTTTGTTCCATCCCAAAGAGCTTAGGAGAAGCTAATTGTCACATCTGCTTCTATTATCTTTCATTAAACAGCTCGTATTCTTTCAGAATTGTCTTGAATCTCAGTCAATCTGGTGCTCAAAGACAGCTACTCTGCTGCCTCCAGGCCTCCCTTCTGTCCTCCTGCTCAAGCAACGGCACCTTGTCCACAAACCTGGGTAGAGATTTTCAGCTTGTGAAACAGTCCTGTGAAAGGAGGCATTCAGCAAGCATCCTGGCAAAAATGATCTTCTGAGGATGCAGGTGCAAGGATTGTTAACACAACGAAAAAGGAATCCCAGTCAAATGCCTGAAAACCCAGAAATCACATAGGAAAAAAGCGGACCTGGGACATCAGCCCAACAGGTCAGGAACAGTTTGGGAATTACTCATGTGTCTAAAACCCGTCTGTGTTTCCCACTGTCTCCCTAAGAGAAAGTACAATAAGAAATTTCTAAAGGTAGAGAGGGAAGGGAGAGTAGAGGAGAACCAGCTGGTTCAGAGACTTAATTTACATGACATCATAGATAATGGGGGATGGGGCAGAGGGGTTTAGAAAGATCACTTTTTGGCACCTACTTTAGCTATTTCAGGTCTTGCTATGCTAAAAATTCAATATAAGTGCCAGGCTGTCAGGAATTTTGCTAACCTCCTTAAACCCAGCAACTGGACTAAATCTAGACTCAGAGGAAAATGGTTGGTAAGCTGCTATTTTCCTCCAAGATCATATTTCAGAAGACACAATTCTCACAAAACCTTATGTCCATTCTATTTGCTAACGCTAAGTCCATGAAAGTACTGAGAGAACATGAACCCACAAACATGAATCAGTTGTGAAGTGATTCTGAAAAGTGAATTCTGAAGCTACATAGGACAGCTTGACTCCATTTACAAATGTACTGAGGTCTGCAATGGTAACTTAATTGCCCAAGAGAGCTGCTAGGTAACATTTAAAAAAATATATATATATATAGATAGATAGATATAGATATAGATATAGATATAATGTCATACACAAGTCCAGGAGCTATAATATTTTACTTCAAATCATTTTCAGTTGATTCATTAAAGCCCCGAGCAGCATGCACACCTATTAACTAAAGCTCATCCAAAATTCCTATTTATTCACCCTCTTTCTCTCCTATAGTACCAAGAAATGTCAGAATGACACACTTTAAAATCCACTGATATTCTTAAGAGTGCAGTCAGATACAAATAACATATGGCAATAACATCAGGCCTTTTGAAAAGTGTCAGGTCAACAAAAGTTCTATTTGTCTCTAAACTAGCTCAAAAAACCTCAGATGACATTTCCCTAAGGAAGACTTATGCCTACGACACTAATAAAAGAAATCACAGAATTAAATCATCCCTTGAAATCCAGTCTCTATTTTCCAAAGGCTCTCACAATGCCCAAACTGGGGGGGGGGGGAGAGAAGGTGGCACAAGGGGGTGAGGAAGACTCCCCCTCATCACAGCGTCCCACAGAAATCAGCATTTGTCTGCTTCTGCAGGTCAAAGAGCAAAGAATGCCAAGGCCGCTGGAAGGAGCCAATATTTGGAAACTTACCGCACAGGCTATGGCCTGAAACTTCAGCAACCCAGGTTAGTGCCCAGTTCACTCTGTGACGTTTGCAGAGAAAAGCTGGCAAGATGCCCAACATTGGCACCGTGTGTGCCCCATTTTAAAAGGCCAAATGACAAACAAATGCTTTTCCTCCCTCTCCCCTACCCAAGTCACTATTTTGCCTTCTCTAAACAGCCTGGTCTATGTGTTAGAAAGCTACCTGGATGTTCAGGCCCAGCTTCTCTCTCACCACAGATAGGAATCTGGCTCCTTGGCAAGATCTCTCTCTTGGAAGTCAATGACTCTTTATACTAAACTTATGTGCAAAATTCATTAAAATATAAGTGACCTCAAAAGGTCTGATATTATGATATTCATTTTACCCCAGAGATTTTCCCCCTTCTGCATCTTAGAACTTATAAGTCACCAGCTCAGATAGTGGTCACTCTCCTTTTAGTCAACAAGTACTAAGGCCTTACAATGCACAAGACACCAATCAGTATGAGTTTGTATCTTATTCCAACTAGAGGCATCATGGTCTAGAGGGAAAAGTGGTATATTTGGGGAGTAAAAATTTTTAAAGGGGCAGCTAGGTGGTGCAGTGGATACAGCACTGGTCCTGGAGTCAGGAGGACCTGAGTTCAAATCCAGTCTCAGACACATAACACTCACTAGCTGTGTGACCCTGGGCAAGTCACTTAACCCCATTGCCTAGCCAAAAACAAAAAAAAATTAAAAACCCTGCCCCTCTCTCCCACTTACTAGTTCTGTGACATCACCTAACCTCTATGAATCTGTCTCCTCATCTGTAAAACAGGAATAATTCCTATTTGACCTCCCTCGGTAGGTGGTTTTTGAACACCAACTAGGATTATGAACATGAAAGGACCACACAAATAAAAAAGATTCTTCTCCACCAATCTTGATTTACTTATCTCTTTCAATGGCATCACCCATGGTTATAACCACAGTGACACTTTTAATGCTCCCTTCCTTTCCGGCTTCCACATATCCCATCACTTCCCCAGTCCTTTTGAGCCTATCTTTTGCAATCATCGGAATCCAATCTACCCAATACTATCTAAGCACCTACAAAGTGCAAGCAAAAAAACAGCTGCTGACATCCTCACCAGGATGCTCACCTGTACCACAGGCACAGAACTTGTAAACAGAGAAGTAAACATGTGACAGTTTGGGGAAGGGGAGAGCAGGAATGGCTGAACCTTGGAAAACCAGAAAGAAAAGGGCTCTGAGACGGAGAGGATGCAGCCAGGCATGGGACACTGTCCCCCCTGCACAGTCCACATCTCTGACCTTGGGGAAGGCCCCACCCGGTGGCATGTTCCATATAAAACTGTGTTAAGGGGCAGCTAGGTGGTGCAGTAGATAGGGCACCAGCCCTGAAGTCAGGAGGACCTGAGTTCAAATGTGACCTCAGATCAAACACTTGACATTTACTAGCTGTGTGACCCTGGGCAAGTCACTTAACCCCAATTGCCTAAAAAATAAACAAATAAATAAATTAAATAAAACTGTTAAAACATACACTCGATTTAACATGATAACAAAACTGCCTTGTTTGCCTGTGCCCCTCCTTCTAAACTTCCTTCTTGTGTGTTGTTCGAAATGTCATATTGATACTCTTTTCTTCTTTTACAATCACTACTTATCAATTCATACCCCTCCACCCTAAAGTGGAAGCAACACCCCCTCTCCATGATAACCAAAAAGTCTGGCTGAACAAATCAGCACCTTTGCTATGTCGATAGACATCATGCCTCTTTCTGCCCAACGAGGATTCATCATCAGTCTTTGGAAGTCATAACTGGTCATTGCAATGATGATCTCTTAACTGATTTCCTTTACATCACGGTTGTTACAGTGTAAACTGTTCTCCTGGTTCTGCTCACTTCATTCTGCATCAGTTCATAGATGTATCCCCAGGTTTCTTACGAATCTGTCATTAGTCATTTCTTACAGTATAATAATAATATGCCATTAAACTCCTTTCTCATTTCTATAGGTTTTCTAATCATTCTTGGAGGCAGGAGATGGATGCTGAGTTCAGGGAACAGCAAGGAGGGCTGAATGGAAAGAATGGAAAGAAGGTGAAGAAGGCTGTGTAAAACAAGTCTCCAATTGATAAATGGTCAAAGACAGTTTTCAAATAAAGAAATCAAAGCCATCATATTAAAAAATGCTCTAAATCAGTATCGAATACAGAAATGCAAATCCAAACATCTCTGTGGTATGAACTCACACCCATCAGATGGACTGGTTGACAGAAAAGGAAAATAATAGATGCTGGAGGGGATGTGGGAAAATTGGGACCTGATGCACTGCTGGTGAAGTTGTGAATAGATTCAACCATTCTGGAGAGCAATTTGGAATTATGCCCAAAGAGTCATAAAACTGTGCATAGTCTCTCACCCAGCAATACCACTACTTGGTCTGTATCCCAAATAGATTAAAAAAAAAAAGGAAAAGGACCCATATGTACAGTAATATTTATAGCAGCTCCTTTTTGTGGTAGCAGAGAACCGAAATTTGAAAGGATGTTCATCAATTGGAGAATGGTTGAACAAGTTGTGGTATATGATTGTGATGGAATACAATGCTATAAGAAATGATGAGTGGGATGCTTTCAGAAGAACCTGGGAAGACTTACATGAACTGATGCAAAGAGAAGTGAGCAGAACCAGAACACTGTCCACAATAACAGCAATATTGTACAGTAATCAACTGTGAATGACTTAGCTATTCTGAGCAATACAATGATCCAAGACAATTCCAAAGGACTTAGGAAAAATGTTATCTACCTCCAGAGAAAGAACTGATGGAGTGTGAATACAGACTGAAGCATACTTTTTCTTTTTTACTTTATTTTTCTTGGGGTTGTTTTTTTTTTGTCTGTATTTTCTTTCACAACATGACAAATACGGAAATATGTTTTACATGACTGTACATATATAACCTATATCAAATTGCTTGCCTTCTCAAGGAGGGAGCAGGGAAGGAGGAAGAGAATGTGCAACTCAAAATTAAAAAAAAAAGAATGTTAAAAGTTGT